GACAGAACGTTTAACCGTGATCCACTGTCCTCTAGATTTGTGCTTGTTGAGTTGAGTTGTTCTTGTCAAAAAGAGCTTGGGGAATTTTCCCTGGCACAATGAATGATTTTCACAATAAAATATAAACATATTTTAATAAGTAAAAAATGTTTAAAAAAGAAAATGTACAGAAGGTGGTAAAAGGCCGCCAGGGCGTGTTGCAACTCCTCCTTCCAAACTAAATCAATAATAACGAAACTAATAATCAATGAAACAAGGCTATAGCAAAAAAAAAAACTTATCAACGTACTATAAATGGCGTCTGACTTCTCTGTCACGACTAGTGGAAGAGTAGCTCTTCAATGCATGAGCACGATCACAATCAAAATCACTATAATAATGCTGACATGGAGACTCACTTCATCCAGATGCAGACGAAAAGCCGGGTTCCACGGGATAGGCTGGATCCAGCCGTACTCCGACAGGTATCTTTTCTTCAGGTTTTCTCGGCATTTCGCTATCGTGTCCTCGAGTAGAACAACACCGCCTGTGGAGATGAACTTTGATGAAATGACTGTTTTACCTACGAATTCGTAATCTTAACAAGTATTTTATTCAGTAATTAATGCAAACTAACACTTATAAACTCTACTTTATTAGATTTTATCATATGTGTCTATGTTGTGATAGATGTTGTTTGATTTTAAAGCTTTTAATGGGATGGGCTACGTCTTTAGTCTTAATCTTTGTAATTGTGAGCAACAGTGCAATTCAGAACCCCTGGGTTCTGCAAAACTGTTTTACATTGACATCAATAAACCAGTCATATAACTTTCCTCAGCGGGTTATCAAAAACATCAAAATATCACATTTAGCTTTGTTCACGTCAAACATATCTATGAACATGTGTATCCCTTACTTTTGTTCCTTTTCGAGGCCAAATTAGTTCCCTCATCATGTCATAATATTTCTGATAATTGTGATTTGACGTACAAGCAAACTGTTGTTTTACAGAGGTAATGTGTAACGTGCTGTCACTGCTATGTGATATTATTTAATATCACCAAGTTTAGTTTGTTACTTGTTACCTCTGTGAAAGAGAGTTTTACGGGATGCATTGTTTATTGTATGTTTGTTTCCAATTATGTTTGGTATGTGGGTAGTTCTTGGGGAGGTCATGGCCAGCTTTTGGCCTTCAGAGTTATGTCCATGTTCTACAATCAAAGAAACAAGTTTTACAAAAATGCACGTTACCAAGACAGCCGTCTACATCTGTCGGTGCCCTCAGCAGCATGTCGGCCAGATGTGGATACCCGAAATCCTCCAGGGCCGTCAGAAACACCGGGAAGGCTCTAGGTCCCCGTGTAGCCAGGATGTCTAGAAAACGCTCAACCTGCAGTGTGAAACAAGTAAAATCTGAGATTTTATACCTCCAGGCTTTTTATTGCATATTTTTATATGTAATTTGTTATGTATAGTTGATGGTGTTGAATTTTATGTGTTAGAGAAGATACATGTTCACAACAACAATTGTTGTGCCCCGCAGGACTAGGGGTTTAAAAGAATTTATCAAGACCGGACACTCCTCTTTGCGAGGGGTCATATACGTGGACCAGACCGATAATAGCTTAAACACGCCAAAGGTCAACGGTCGCGATCATTTTCACGCTCAAAGGGGTGTTCTGGGGCTACCAAAAGGCACCCCCCCCCCGAAAACACATATACAATAAAAACAAAAGACCATGCATCATCTACAGTCCAATAGCAAAACATACACCAAGTCCCAAAAAAAATCCGTCCACCCAAATGCGAGAAACAGCTGCGAACATGAAAATCTAAATATCTCACAAAACCCTTCCGCGGAAGGATGTCTCCTCCCCCGGAGGTAATTATGTTTCTGAAGGCTGTACGTAAAGCAAATCTTATATGAATGCATTTTTTGCCCAGTCTCTACAAATGCATTTTTTTTGCTCGAAAAATAGTTTGTAAGAGAAGATATCTCTTTGTATTCTATCCTATTCTATATCTATAAACGTGTGTCCGCGTATTGAAAAAATACGCTTGGAACTTTTCTACAATTATGTTTCCACACACGAAGAGCATTTGTTCTACATATTAAATTTCGTTACTCGCACTTTATGTTTAAAAAGACTTGACAGGATCATGTTGCAAACAGTTTCTGCACTGTGGTTTGTGTAAGGACATTCATGGTGCTGAAATGCCTTCCATTAGACTTCAAGCTATCATACTCCTCTTTTAGTTATTTACTTTTAGGTCGACATACCTTTTAATTATCTACCATTATGATTTGATATCTGAACGATTATTATTACTTTTATGTTACCTTATTTCATTTGATTGTTACGTTGATGAGTTAGTTACGATTTCGTCTTGTTCACGATAAGTTTATCTATTTTATAGTTGACCTTTGTTAGTTCATCTTTAATCTTTTGTTATAATTATAATGTCATGTAGTTTTGTTGGGGTTATCCCCCCAGGAATCTTTGAAAACCGCCAATAGGCAACATGTGTATCCTGGTTAAATAAACAAACAAACAAATACGTCTTATACCTCACAACTGCATCATAGTGTGCCTGTACCTTTAATGCTCGTGTACGCTCGCACTCGATGTCCTCGAAGTGTTCGGGGTCCATGACTCCCTCCTGGATCATGTAGGACCGGACGTCCTGGACACGCAGGCTCTGGACAATCTCTGTCCGGTGACCACGGATAGACGCGGCCTCCCATGGGTCCATCTTCAGGTGAAAATGTATAGAGACGTAGTGTATGTTAGGATGGGGACTCCGGAAATAATTTCATCAGGTTGGTGGAACTTAGGAGACAGGTATTTCCAGGTACAACCGGTAAATTCTCACCTTTTTGACGTTTCGGTGTCTGTCAGACACTTTCTGACTGGAGTACTGCATCTCGCCGCTATATGTAGCCGATGTAGGTGGCGCTTTTGTCAGCCCCTGTATTGAACCGAGACGAGGGGCGGTACACACTAAGCCACGTTTGGGACAGTGTTCTCGCCGCAAAAGCGCCACCTACATCGGCTACATATAGCGGCGAGATGCAGTACTCCTGTCAGAAGCTCTGAACAAGGTGTCTGACAGACACCGAAACATCAGCAGGTGTAAGGTGAGAACTTACCGGTTGTGTAAAAAAGAAATACCTGTCTCCGATGGATACTCCGTTCTGGTACAATCAGCAATTCTACCGGTAGAGAGCCAGGTCAGAGTCTGTGTCAACACAATTCTCTGTCTGCCGATACTGACAGATTTCTTGATCGTATAGTATGTAAAGTTTAAGATATTTGAGATATTAGCTTGGTTAAGACTTAAGAGCCGATGTCTGTAAAAACCAAGCAAATCAGAAAAAAAGTGGCCAAACTCAAAAAATCAAATTTTCTCAAACTTTGTGTGGTGGTAGGGACTTGACCCAAACTTACGAAAATGGGTAAGTTTTGGACGCCTGGTTATTTGTTGCCATGGCAACGGCCATTTTTCAAAATGGCGGATTTTTACCTTGTGGAGGCATAAGTCTTGCCCAAAATGGACCATCTTTTACCTTCCGTATCTCACAGAAAGTAACACATATCTCATTGCTTCTAACATATTTTATTATCCATATTGTAACTAAGAAAATGATATGAAGTTTTACTCGAAATGTTTTTGTGGTGAGCTGTAGCAGACGTTTAAAAATGGCGTGTTTTTGTAAAATTTCAAAATTGAGAAAAAGTCCATTTTTTAGAACGTTTTTAGTGAACCATGGCCGCTTAAAAGGCAGGTAGAATTAGTTGATTTTTTGGCACAGTTATGGCTAAAACCTTCGTCTACAACATATCAAAAAATATCTTTGGGGTCTCTATGGGGCGGAGCACAGTGACCCCTAGACTAAACCATTATTTCCATTGTGAAAGAATCCCAACCACTGCATTATAAGTGAAAAAAGCATCCACATCATGGCTATACAGTAAAGAAAACGAAATCTAAAGCTTTTTTCAAGTGCTAAGGAAACCTATCTCGCACTTACAAAAGTTGTTTCCTTCTGGGCTGACAACGGGTTACCATGGCAACAGTTATATGGGGAGGGGGGCGGTGTTTTGAGGCCCACGGCCACTTTCTTGTTGTATAATGTCTAAAAAGTTGAAACTAGAACTTTTCCTCAAATAAATTTTGCAATAATTGGATATTCATACTTTCATGTTGCCATGGTCATGTTACCATGGCAACTGGTTGCTGACAGGAATTTTTTGCCAAATTCAGTAATATCACTATAACAATGAAATTTCTATTTTTTTGGTTTTAAAATTTTCCCCCTTATCAAACATCCATGACATTCCTGTAAGTTTATGTAAATTCTTTGTTTACACATGTATGATTTATGTTAATTAGATGACGTCATTGGACAAGATAGTGGACCATCAGTAACTCGGATATTACGTTTTTTACTCTTAAAACGCTAAAACTCAAGGTTTTTTAAAGCGAAGAAAACGAAAACTAAAGCTTTCTTCAAGTGGTTAGGAAACCCACCTTGCACTTACAAAAGTTCATTCCATCTGGACTGACATTGGGTTACCATGGTAACAGTCATATGGGGAGGGGGGCGGTGTTTCAATGCCCGAGGCCACTTTCTTATTGTATAATGTCTAGCAATTTTCAGCTAGAACCACCAAACCTGGTGACTTTTCCTTAAATAACTTGGGCAATAATTTCATTTTAAAGATGAAAATCCATATTTTTATGTTGCCAAGGCAACGGGTTGCTGACAAACATATTTTACAAAATTCCGTAATTTCATGCAGTTTAAGAAATGAAATTTCCATTCTTTTCTAGTAAATTGCACCTCTTTTTTAAAATTTATGGCATATGTAATTTCATATAATTTCTATCATTAAACGAATTTTTCTTTCATTTTTGATGCTGCATGAACCCTACTTAAGCTGGAGTCACATGCTCGGCATGTTCCCGGTGTAGACGCCGGCCGGCGTCATGAAGCCGAGCGTGCGCAGGCTGTCAGGGTCACAATCAAATGTTCCTTTACGGCTCCCTGTTTGGGTTTTGGGGGTATTTTTAGCGTGTTTTTAGGCTTTTTTATCGGGGTTTCTCTTTTGCGCTGAATTTTTTTTGGGTTTTGTGGGAAAAAAATTCAGTGCAAAAGTGAAACCCCGATAAAAAAGCCTAAAAACACGCTAAAAATACCCCCAAAACCCAAACCTCTGCTTGGAGAGTACGCTAATACGGCTTCTATTCAAAATTCATAAACTTTTGGTCCCTTTGACGGCCGGTTTCTGTTAGGGACCAGTCCGGTGCCCGTTCAGTTTCCCGTCTTGACCCATGCGGGATGCGGTAGGGTGCCGAGCGGCTCTTGCATTCTGGCCGGGCAGCTTTTGGGTCCTTGGCGGGGTTTAGGGTTGATCCTTTCGGGTCCCTGGCTGGTAAGCCCCTGGTTGGTGTGGTATAATTATTGTCCTCCTGGCACCCTTCAATGCTGAACCCATGTTGGTAGAGTAGTAAATCAAAAATATCTAGCAAATCTTTCTTAACATTTGATGATGTAGCCTCATCATCAATCACATCGATCATCCTGTGCCTATGTTTTCTGCTTTAATATCCCAGGTCTAGAAATCTACCTTTTTGATTGAAATTCCACATTTTGTCTGCCTGTTTGCAACAGCATCATTACCACAGTGGTAACAGACAGCAGTGTTCTGCCATAGGGATACTGTTGGTCTATGTGAGTGCTACAACAACATTATATATATAAATAGAAATGATAAGTGCCATTTAAAAAAGAATAGTTACCATGGCAACCCCACTTCCTTTGTCCAAGGTACCTTTCCTTGCCCCATGATTAAAGAAGTCTTGTGTTTTAGTATTTTAAGAGGAAAAACTTGTTATATCCGAGTTATAGTCCACCATCTTAGATTTTGACCAATGACGTCATCTAATTAACATAAATTATAAATTTGTAATCATAAAGATTATATGAACTTACAGTAATGCCATGAATGTTTGATAAGAGGAAAAATTTTAAAACCAAAAAAATGGAAATTTTATTCTTATACTGAAATTGCTGAATTTGGCAAAATATGCCTGTCAGTAACCCGTTGCCATGGCAACATGAAAGTATAAATATCCAATGATTGCAAAATTTATTTGAGGAAAAGTCACCAAGTTTGGTGGTTCTAGTTTCAACTTTTTAGACATTATACAACAAGAAAGTGGCCGTGGGCCTCAAAACACCGCCCCCCTCCCCATATAACTGTTGCCATGGTAACCCGTTGTCAGCCCAGAAGGAAACAACTTTTGTAAGTGCGAGATAGGTTTCCTTAGCACTTGAAAAAAGCTTTAGATTTCGTTTTCTTTACTGCATAGCCATGCTGTGGATGCTTTTTTCACTTATAATGCAGTGGTTGGGATTCTTTCACAATGGAAATAATGGTTTAGTCTAGGGGTCACTGTGCTCCGCCCCATAGAGACCCCAAAGATATTTTTTGATATGTTGTAGACGAAGGTTTTAGCCATAACTGTGCCAAAAATCAACTAATTCTACCTGCCTTTTAAGCGGCCATGGTTCACTAAAAACGTTCTAAAAATGGCTTTTTCTCAATTTTGAAATTTTACAAAAACACGCCATTTTTAAACGTCTGCTACAGCTCACCACAAAAACATTTCGAGTAAAACTTCATATCATTTTCTTAGTTACAATATGGATAATAAAATATGTTAGAAGCAATGAGATATGTGTTACTTTCTGTGAGATACGGAAGGTAAAAGATGGTCCATTTTGGGCAAGACTTATGCCTCCACAAGGTAAAAATCCGCCATTTTGAAAAATGGCCGTTGCCATGGGTACCATCAACCAGCGAACCAAAACTTACCCATTTTTGTAAGTTTGGACCAAGTCCCTACCACCACACAAAATTTAAGAGAATTTGATTTTTTGAGTTTGGCCACCTTATGCTTGGTTTTTACAGACAACTGCTCTTAAAATTTGATTCATGTCACTTTGGATTCATGTGCTGACTTGAAATGTAGGACTTATGTTTTATTATGTTTGATGAGCAGCGGATTCACATAAGCACAATTGCTTCCGATCTAATGTTCAAAAATCAATGTGAATAAAATAAATAAATGCAGGACTTGAACACATGAAAGTATCCAGATCAGAGCCTCTGTCGACAAACACTCGGATCGGGATCTTTACCAGATCTGAGCCTCTACCCTGACATATAAATGATGGTACATAGATGTCATGATAAACATATATATAACCCCCCCCCCCCGTGAGCGCTTACTTCTGGAAATATAATAATTCATTAGAAAGTATAGCACCACTTATGTTGTAATTATTTCATTGACGTCATTCAAATGAACACCGATAGACTCAATCGGTGTCTAGTCTAAGCTTATAAATGCAGACGTAGACTACATACGCGATTTTACACTTGATGAATTTGATGACATTATGATGGCTTTAACAAGCAACCACGTTCAGCCTGCATACAATATCTTAAGTTAGTAACTGAAAATAAAATTAAAAAAGAAATAGCCGGCTGAACTAATTTATGAATCTATCCCGATCAAATATTTTGACGTTTTTTTTAACGAGGCTGAAATGAGGCTGGCCTGTTTGTGATTTTTATAATTCCCATCATTGCCTCAATCTTTACCAATTTATGAATTCAGAGACCTATTAATGAATGTATTCTAAGTTTACCTAAGGCCACACAAATCTAATTACTTGTTTCTCGGATTTTTTTCAGAAAAAATACGAAGCAACAGGGCGAAAAAAAACAGGTCAAGGTACCCCATGATAGCCGGAAATGAGCCATGAAGTCAACATACCAGCAGGCTGGTGTATAATTAAAACAATAATTTTTAAACTTTTAATGACACGAAATCGCATTGTTACATTGAAAAACTTTTAACAACTAGGAAGAAAAGGACTTTCTTCAACTATTGGGCCAAAATCAAGCATTTTGGAGTTGATTCAGAACCTAAAATCTTTCTTTCTTTTGCCAGAACAATAATGGAAAGGCGAATCCGGGAAACAACAAATCAAATTAGTGTGGCCTAACAGCAAGCTTATTTTCTTCTTATAACGTTTTAATATCTGGCAGATGGTACAAAGATAGTACACCAGAATAATGGTGACCGCAGTGGTCGTTTTGAGATTCTCAGAAACCCTAGTTGTAAAATCGACCATCAGATGACTCATCCGCGGCGCCAAGAATTAATGCATCACTAAGTTTTACTTCAAAATCTGATCCATACGTACTTGTAAAATACAACACGCATGTACACTACCAAAAATGCTTTTCTTGTTTTAGAAAGAAAATGTATCTTGTAGCAAGAAAATTATAACAAGAAATTGAAGAATCCCCGTAACAAGAAAATTCAAGAAACACATGTGTTTTCTGCGTTTTCTTGCTGTAGCAAAAAAACGATTCTGTCCACAAGAAAATATTTCTTGAACTAATAGCTCATTGTCCTTTAAGCAAGAAAATCATCCTGTACACAATAAAAGATTTCTTGTAGCAGAAAAAAAATACTGTAAACTTTCTTAAAACTCAGTAGAAATGACAGTAGAAATGTTTTCTTTTCTTAAGAAAAAAAGAAGAAGTAAGAATCAACATACAGAATCTTTGAAGAATGTTTCCTGAATTTTCTTGAAAATCCGCCTGGCAAGACAATATTTCTCAACATAAGAAAGATAAGAAAAAACATTTTTGGTAGTGTAGAAAAAGCGACCCAAGCATATGGGCTATTGATCAATTTTGAACGGCGCCAGACAGTAATGTATTATTCTCCACGCGTCTTTCCCGGATCTAAACTAGATCACAGACACATATCACATTCTGTGTCCGTATAAATCACATACGTTCTACGTAATTCTCAACAACAAGGGATTTACTTTGAATGGATGGCAGTAATTTTTCATCATGATTTTGATCGACCTGCGTATTAGAAAATCTCTTGATGAGAGGAAATTACTTAACATGATTACGTATCACCCGAAAAGGCAAAGGAGTGACGTATGGCATTACTGTTATTGCAGTTGTTCCGAAGTCTTGAAGTTAATTAAGGCAACAGCAAGTAATTTTTATGGATGACATCAGCGCACACATTAATTTTCGCCTGATTTTGGAGAAAAAAAAACACAAGAATGCCGAAAATGGGCAAAGATGTCTGTTGCCATACCGGAAGGTGGATGGCAGATAACTACGAAGAGAGAAGACAAGAAAAGGCTCTGATTTAATGTTTTGTTTCTTACTTTGATGCAGTGATATGTGATGTTGGCTGTGTATATGTGATGTTCCTACTGAATCAAAACCATTTGTACGATGATTAAGTCAAAATTTTAAAATGTAGGAACCTTGTTTTTTCCGACCCGCCTTGTTGTTTCACCCGCTCGCATTAAATTTGGAGTCTGTGGAGGATGTCATCCATAAAATTTACTTGCTGTGGCCTAATTAACGATGAATTGTTGTGGCATTTATCATTGAAAAAAACCTCCCCGCTATATCCTAGGGATTACAAACAGAATCAGGACGACTGACAAATCCTAGAGGACTGCGAATCTTTGCTTCTGCTGCTAAGGCCATGTTGATTTGATAATATGGATGACATCCGCGCGCGCATGAATTTTCGGCCGTTTACCAAAAAAAAAGTTTTTAACCATACTGTAAATCGTGCAAAACAGTTGCTAAATGAGCAAAAATATACCATAAGTTGCAAGGAAAACATTTAGAAACGATACCAATGTCGTAGAATGCCAAAATCAAAGGAAAAAAAGACAAAAATGTAAAGAAATGAATTCGAAGAGTAGATTATTCGCCATAACATATTCTGTGCCATTTGTTCAACCTTCATGACCACGTAGATTTCATAGTGAAAGCAACTTTTTCTTTTGCAAAACTTTTTTTTATTCGCACGCACGCATTGGGGTTCCCAGAGGATGTCATCCATATAATCAAATCAACATGGCCTAAAAACAATAAACGTGACTGCTCAAATACATGGTCGTCATCTGAAGCAAACAAAGGCTTCGGTTTGACTTTATTGAATTCAAACGGCGTGGGATTGTTTTGTATTGAGAATCCGGGATGAGAGAATGGTCTCCAGAGACAAGTGGAGACATTGACGATCACATACATGTCCGATGAAGTAACGTCTGCTGTCGCGATCCCAGAAATCTCGCCTGAGGGCATTGGATAGGTCAAACAGCTGATAATTTGTAAACAATGCAATCAAAGAATTTTCTGTTCTTACAGTTGGCATTATATGAAAAAAAAACTAAAATTACTACTGTTTTACCCTGTATAATGATACTTTGCAGTTCACGTGAACTCATTACCATTCCTCATTTTCAATTCTACGTCGGGGACCGGGCACACCTAGCTTTTGAAAATTACAGCACAATACTATATGATGTCATCATACGGAATGTGAGAGCAGCCTCTGCTTGGCATACTAATACATTACATGTATACTGTGCAGGTATGGAGAAATACCAGCATCTTATCCATTTGCTGAGTTTATGTATATTCATATTCATATAAAACATAGCATATTTTAAAATGATGTCAGCGTTGTTTTCTAGAGTTGATTTTATACACTATGACCAAACCTAATTATAAATTTAGTATGTTGTACGGTTATGTGTTGTTTACATATACTATATCATGAATACTAAGCATCATGTAAGTAAAATGCGCAATAAATGGTTATATAAAACAGTTTGGCTGTGCAGTAATACAGGTCATCCTGTCCAGACGCCGGCTGGTAATTATAGTTTATGGCCTTAGCAAGGTCCGACTGGTCACGGGCTGCAATTTACTTCAGAATAACATTTAACTTTACATTTTATATACATAATGTATACAACCATACAAGCTAAAAGCTTGGTTCCAATGAGGTTGCTACTAAAAACAGGCGATCATAGAGATAGAGCACCCGTAGTAAAACATTTATGTTTCAGCAGTTTGTCGCATACTTACAGTCTGTATTTGCTGTGAATATTGACGGCATTTTGCCATCTAACAGTCTGGCTTACATATTAACATCGGTGAAAATTCGGTACCCTGTTCCATGTATTGCCCAACTATATTTTCTGTTGACATGGTGCCAATAAGTAATGAAATAACGAAGTTTTCCCCGACAAAACATGTCTCGCTGTCCATGCCACTTACCGTTGTTCGTTCGGCTGCAGGAAAGGCCGACTCGGAATATCCTGAGGCCGGGTTATCAGGCTGTAACCATCGGGGGTGGAAGCGGTCTTGTACCGACGAGGAAGCCGGCGTCTCCGCCCAAGGGTACCTGTCTATCGGGATGAAGATAACCACAACAATCCAGTTCTGGTTAGGGCGTTCTTGTGGCCAAATATGGCAGATGTAAGCGGCCCTGCCGTTGGCTGCTGCCTGCCGTTATGCCGGTACAGCTGAATGAAATCATTGCAGACCGATCGATCACACATTCGGGGTCAACCATTATCGTCGAAGGAGGGAGTCCTGAAAATCAACATCACCCGGGACAATACGTATGGCGTGACTTGCATTTTGACTCATATAAGTATTTCAGTAATGATGAAGTTTAATTTTATATTTCCTAACATATTTCCTATGTCGCATCCACATCCCTTTTCTACAGATACTTTCACGGTCGATGTTCAGGAGAACTTGCACTTCTTGTTCCGCCGCTCAGAACCTTTCAGCGTGCCACTAGGTTCTCTTCCAGTTCTCATCAATACACCGTTAACATACCTGTCTCCAAGTCATTTTACAACAACAGCTTTTTTTTCCCGGACTGCAAAATTATAGAACTCTTCCAAACAGATGCTTTCCGTCCGACTACAATCCACAAAGCTTCAAAACAAAGGTCCACCGCCATCTGCTGACATAACTACATTATACTTACTTAAGTACCTCTAGCTCTATGCCTAAAAGTGGCCAAAATAATTGGCCTTGCATTGAGCCACACCGTTAAAAAAATTGCATCGAAACATTGAAAGAAAACGATTGGTCCCGTTCTACTCGAGAACGTGAGAGGACTGTAATATTAGCGCCCTCTCGTCTGTCAGAGCCATCAATTAGAGTCGGGATGCCGCAGACAACCCGGCCGGCACACGGCATGATCATTGACGTATGTACGTACCAGCAACTCAACGGGGAATATCTTTAACGTGCAATTAGTCTCTATCAGACTCCGAAAATGGCTAACCCGCGTCTTATTCCTTTGGGCGTATTGTTCGTCCTGTTTGGTCAGTCATACTATTTTGGAGGAGACTAGACTTACATCACGTGAAACCCCAAAATAGCTGCCGCAATAAAAGACTTACCTCACGCCTATCAATAATAAAATATTGATTCCAACACGAAGCATGTGATACGTTTTTTTACAAGTGATGTAGACAGGTACTAGACTGACTGTGCGAGATAGATTATTTGTGTGTAAGAATTTGTGTGAAAGGGAAAAAGAAACATTTCAGTTACCAATTTTGCTTTTAAATTAGTAGCCTTGTGAACTGTTTAGTGATAAAAAATTGGTACTTTTGCACATTTTGGGCAAATAACTCTTTGTTGTCACATTTTGTCGTACCTGAACTACCGGTAACTTACTTCTTTTTGTCTTTATTTAATACAGATATTTGAGTAGTTTAATAAAATCTGTACATGTCCTTCATACTAAAATATTGTGCAGTAAAATAGCTGATTTCTGAAGATATACATGTAGTTATGTCCATTTTATAATGGATTGTACAGTAATAAGCGCTTATTGCTGTTCACCTTTCTTTCCGCTTGTTTAATTGATTTCAATACGTTAGATCCTATAGATAAATGCAACTACATTCTCAGGGGAGATAACTAATACAGTGTTCGATTAGTAAAATACATTAAAGAATGTTTTGATCTTAGAGGCCACATGTTAAAGAATAGTTAAACCTTTATTGTTACAGCATACATATACTCTGTACGTAAGATGACGTTATCCACACATGTATTTACCTTGTTAGATCTTTAGTTGTAGAAGACCATACAAAAGTCCCTGTTCATTTTGTTGTGTCAATAAAGATTCTCACTGTCTTTTGAGACACCGTCCTAACATTACAAGTTAGGGAGCATGCACAGGTAGCCTAAATATATGGTATAAAAAGGCAGAAAATCTTGAAACACGCAAAACTTAATTAGAAAGCTTCACATCCAGTCATTTCAGTTCAGGAACCATACCCTAAAAAGAGGGACTTGAACATCTTTTCCTGCCACACTAATTACATTTTTCCTGTTTTCATCAGATAATGTTGACGAGCGGCCCTCAAGGTCCTTACTGAGGTAATGGAGGGACCCTGTAGCGTCTGGACTAACCTGATTAAGTCTTTATTGATAGGCGAAGTAATTGCATGGAGATGCCTTGCGACTGCCCATCGGTATAAGTACATTGTACGTACAGGCTGATGATTGTGCATGCACATGTATTCGTCGCTTGTTTTGTACGTAGCAAACGTAGCATTGTTTATTCGTTCGAGTGCCTGCCGAGAGCACATGATGTCTAACGTATCGCAGCGTTCTTCCAGCCTTGGGGAAAAAATACGTAAACGAAAAAAAATTATAAGCAAATTTACCAATCTCAATAAAATTCACTGTTTTTAATGCGTAAATATGACTCGTGTTTGTATTATTTGTGTCGTCATTTGTGTTCGATGCCCTGTCCACCCCCCACCCCCATAGTTTCAATGAAGTCCGAGAGTTTGAGCCTCAGAGTCTCTTAATCGGAAAGGCCGGGTAATTGAAAAAATGTGCTGACAAATTCGCTTTTCAAATAAGCGGCTTCCACTGTAGAAGATGAAGACCACTTTGTCGTTCATTGCAGCTTTATATGTAGTAATGATAAAAATGATCTCTTTCGATACATTAAGTTTCTATACTTCCAATACTTGACTAATATTATAAAATTATCTTTCTTATGCGCTTTAAGCATCCTGTATTAAACAAACCCATTTCAAATAATATTTTTAACATCACAAAGAAACGAGAAGAAGCCGAACCGTTGCATTAGAGTAGATTTAGAGCTGTTTGTACTACAAACATGTATATTATCTTTTCATCTGTACTTAGCCCGATAGGGCATGAATGTACAATAAAGGTTAGTATTATTATAACAGATAATATGCTACAGACAGACTTGAATATATCTTTGAATGCAATAACTCCCTAAATGAAAAAAAGGTGCATTGTATGTAAACTTTGTTAAAGAAAAAATACCGAAACTCGTGATTAGCCCGACATGATTTTGTACTATGTTCAATAGTTGTTGTCATACACTGTACTATGTACAATCGGCATCCAATAAACTTCTACCAGCATTTTACAAATGTTGTAAACATATTACACACAATACTAAAAAATCCGTCTACTAGCTTCATTCATGTTGTTGACTTAACATTTTAGTTGGGCTTTAGAATGTTACATGTACGTACAAATGTATACTTTTATTAGGCAGAATGGTGCCTCCCTGTTCCCAAAAATCCTTATATAACGGAAGCATAATACAAGTATGTAAATGTACTCTAAAACCCTGAATAAGAAGTCTGAGGTCTGAGAGTGCCCACCAATATACCATGTGCATATTGCATACACAATGTGTGCATAACACATTACTCAATAACCAACTTGGCCAAATAAGAAAAAAAATGCTTGTTAGGCCACACCAATTTAATTTGCTGTTTCTCGGATTCACCATGTCCATTTTTTTCTGATTTGCAGAAAAAAAATTTGTTCTAAATCAAGTGTACAATACTCAATGGAAGACATAGTTTGGCCCTTATGGTTGAAGAAAGTCATTTTCTTCCTAATTGTTGAAGTTTTTCAATGTAACAATGCAATTTTGTTTAATTAAAAGTTCAAAATCTATTCAATAGATTTTGTATGTTCACATATTGTAAACATTTCCGGCTATCATGGGGTGCCTGGATCTGTTTTTTTTTTGCCCTGTCGCTTCATATTTTTCTGAAAAAATCCGAGAAACAACAAATTAAATTGGTGTGGCCTTTTATTAAAAAAAAAAACTTCGTACAAAAAATGATTCTTCCATTTGCAGGATATCTTGCCTTATTTCTTAGATAACATCCTTTTCACAAGGGGTCTTACTGCTAGCCCTGCTTGTAGCTACAGGTGTCAATACGAAACAGTTACTCATTACCTATTACACTGCATAACTTCCACCGTTCAGAACTCCTCAGCAAACTTTCTGGGATCTTAGGACACTCTGTTAACTTACATTCTCTTTCAGATAGAGCGAAACAACTTTTAATTTTGAACGGTTCCCCGGTTTATTCTTTTCGAGTTAACTGTAACATTATGTCAACCGGCCAAAATTACATTTTAGCAACAAAACGTTTTTAATTCTATTTGTGTCCGTTTCATATTTTGGGTGGGGAATGTGGACTCTCGCTTCATCAATTCGACTGTATGTGCTTTTCTTTTACATGTATCCTTGGTTAGTGTTTTGCATTGTTTAGTAATATTAGTTTTATTCGTATAAGTGGCGGCGCTAACATAAGTAACCTAACTTGAGCCCGTCGTCACTTTGTCCTGTACTCTTATTTTGTTTACTGTATGCTGAATAAAAAAAAAGATAACATCCCACACCAGTCTGCACATCAAAGGACAGACGAATCCAGACGAATCCTGGCCACACAGTCCTGGACACTGGGTCAATGGACACTAAAACTGGGTCTTCTTCTTCACTGATTTCCCCCATGGCTGGTAGTTAAGTTGGCTGGCAGGTGTATTTGTCAATGTAGTGTCAAAAGGGCATTGCTATTAATGTCACTGATGAGAAGTGTATGAATTGGTGCTCAGTACTTTAACCTGGCTAACGGCTTTAGTGTACCATGGCTAAGATTGTAGCAACCGCACTAAGGCCACACCAATTTAATTTCTTGGTTAATGGATTTGCCCGCTTCATTTTTTTTCTGATTTGCAAATAAAAAAAAAGTTCAGAATCAACTGCAAAATGCTCATATTTTGCCCTGAACAGTTGAAAACAGTCCTTTTCATCCTATGGTATCCTTAAAAGTTCAAATTCATTGTTTAAATTTTGAACCAGCCTGGTGTGTTGACTTCATGGCTCCTGTTGTACCATTTTGGGCCATAATAGGATGCCTAGGCCTGTTTTTATTTTTATTTTTGTTCGCCTGCCCGCTCCAATATTTTCGAGAATAATCTGTTAACCAAGAAATTAAATTGGTGCATGTGGCCTTACGAGTCAAAAATCATCTCCAATCAACCCACGCAAGATGGAAACAATAGACAATACACAATAAACAGGGCAGTGAGTGGTTAATCAGTAACCAAGAATTGTTTATTTACATTCTTGACACAGACAAGACAATTTTTGTCACAGCCTTGTAGGTTCCTTCATAATCTTGAATAACATGATACAGAAGTGACAAGAAGTGCACTGAGTCATCTGTAAAACCTGTTTCCCAACTCATGTACATAATGTCAGAGACTCTGATCTGGTAGAATCAGAAAGCCAGTAGAGATCCTGATTGCCTAATAGTATATTCTACCTGTCTTCCGAGACTGGACTGCCAATGATGATGAGTCTCTACCCTGACATACATGTATATACAGGCTTAGTTAACAGGCTGAGTTTCTCATTGCTGATGTAAGAAATCTGATTTGATCAGAAATAATGTAAACTTATTATGCTCTTAACTATATTTTGTTAACTAATTATGTGACCAAAAATGACTGTGACAGAGAACATGTCTGTATAAAAATCTCTATAATAGACACAAAGGTCCCGAGAACATGAACTACTATACATGTACACATACATGTACAACCTAGGTGCTAACTGAGCTTGAGTAAAGTGTTAAAGTCTGGAGTACAGACCAGTCTGTGCTTTACAGGTCCTAATATGGTCATGTCTCCTGTCTGGGCCTCTGCATCATGTCTCACAGACACCAACTCCTGAAAAACATTCAGACAGAAAAATAATAGAATACAGGGCAACATTTTTACGTCCAACCCTCGAGCTACGGGGAATGCGAGACGATAAACGGATAGTGAGTGAGTGTGAGTGAACACAGGGTATTTCCTATTGCCCAAGGTACCAGCCCAACCGCGCGTCAGATCGCCTGAAGGCCAGAGGGAGATCCGATCCGCGGGAGGGCTGGGACCGAGGGTGGTGCGGAATACACCGTGTTGTATTTTATTTATGTCATACCCACCTACATGTAAGAAATCACACCTTTCAATGCAAAATGAGCAAAAATTTGGTGTCCCTAAACCCAAAAAGTGCAACATTCAATTCCAACGTCCAAATTTTGTATTCGAATTTTCGAAGTGGAGCACGCGGTTAGGGCGAAACCCAGTCAAATCGTTCTATGGAACATTTGAAAGTCCGGGCCGTACGCGTTAAGAACCCCAGGGCTGTACCGCTAGTTATCACACAGGCCAGAACACCCGTATCAAATGTAATCGCGGCCCAAGTGTGACATAAATAGCATTACAGCACACAACGGATACAATCAAATCATTCAAATTAAAAAAAGGAAATTAGCCTCACCTGGTGGAAGGAACAATGGCTTCCCATGTTGACGTCCAGAGCCACGTCCCCTAAAACTAGCCGTGTTCTTCCTGACTTCAGCACCTGTAGCTTCCCGATGTAACCTTCCGCCATGTTGGGTAACACTGAGGTGAGTTCACCTGCAGGTTTGTCCTAGAAAAGTATAACAGACATGCTGATTTTTTAAAAATGTTTTTTTTTCTGTGAAACTCGCAAGGGTCTGTGCGGCTGCCATTTGGTGCCACAAGGTGACCTCAATACGACTTTCCCCAACCGAAGTTAGGTACCCATTCACACCTGGGTGGAGTGAGGAAAGTCGTGTAAAGTGCCTTTCCCAAGGGCACAACGTCGGAGCGCATGTTCAGACATGTCCCGGGTACAACTCGAACCCGGGTCTCCCCGCTTCATAGTCGAACAATCTACCACTACGCCACCCGACGCCACAATGGCATTTGTCACACATGGCATTTGTGGTAAAAACATTGCCCTCCTCCAAGTTACCATACATGGTTGTATGACTATGTACATGTACGACTATGTAACTCATTTGGGCCTAGGAAAAAATGTTGAATCAGATGTGTTTCCTGTTTCAGTCTTGACAAAATTAGGGTCAGTAGGTGGGGATTATCTTTTTTTAGACTTCGCCAATCTATAGTGATCCAAATTGTAAAAATCATTATACAATATTAAAGTTTAACAAAGCAAACTTGCATGAGAACACTTCTATTTTCAATGTCAATGTTGGGAAATTGCCCAACCATTTACATGTTCTTAGTAGCACTTGTGTCAGATCCTGGAGCTAGAAAACGTCGATCAGCTCGAAAAATGTATGTCTCTTGCAGGGGTCCATACATAAAAAAGGCTAGGATAGGTATTTTTTCCTAGGCCTTGTTGTCAATGAGCATCTAAGAAAAAAATCTAAAAGTCATCGACCACATTACAAAATGTAGGTGTACAATATGTAGATTTGTTGCTGTAGCAAACTACATACAATCAAACTTGCCTACTCTAGTAAGTGACCACTACCAGGCTTGAAGGCTTGAATATAATGTACGTGCACTGGACCAGTGCACCTACATTGTATTCAAGCCTTCAAGCCTAGTACATTGTACCACCTAACAATTATTTTTTCCTTAGGCCACACCAATTTAATTTCTTGGTTAACGGATTCGCTCACTTCATTTTTTTCTGATTTGCAAATAAAAATAAAAATTTAGAATCCACTACAAAATGCTGATATTTTGCCCTGAACAGTTGAAAATAGTCCTTTTCTTCCTAGTTGTTACAGATATTCTATCTTTCAATGCAATGGTATCATTAAAAGTTCAAAATTCATTGTTTAAATTTTGAACCAGCCTAGTGTGTTGACTTCATGGCTCCTATCGTACCATTTGGGGCCATAATAGGATGCCTAGGCCTGTTTTTATTTTTTATTTTTTTTTGCCCGCCCGCTCCATTATTTTTCTAGAAAAATCCGTTAACCAAGAAATTAAATTGGTGTGGCCTTAGTCCAATATATTTTCCTCATACATGTGAGTGACTTTTCCAAGATGACAGACTGTCTATTATGCATTTAGGACATGCTAAAAACCTATCATGATCAGGGGATATACATGTAGAAAGTAATTCATTGACAAGTAATATATAGCAGTTGCTTTCTTTCATATCTACACTGCATTCATGTTCCATTCCCTGTTAAATTTGTAAACTTCCAGCAATATAATGATGATGAGCTTAATTGTTCAGTATCCAATTTGCATTTCAAACAGGTCAAACCTCAGATATTACATGAGTACACTGACGTCTGACATCATCTAAAATGTAATTTGTAAACATTTGTGAAAACTCTGCCTCACACAAAAAAAATGATCCCCAGTTTGCTAAATGGCTTCAATTTGTGTCCGGCAAAGTATCACATGGGAAATCATCATGAAAATCATGGACATTTTTATTGTATTACAAACACAAAAAGATATTGTGTTATAGAAGTACAATGTCGACAGAAATAGATATCTGATCTACAAACTAGTCAGATGACTGAGAGACTATAGCTGGGTTGATGTTATTATATTTCAGTCCATACCATATGGTATAGATGAAATAAATTGACAATGTGTTCTCTCATGTTTCTTCTTCTCCTTCTCCTGCCATTTCTTTAAATGGATTTTTTAACCAAATAACTTCTGGCATGGGGCAGTGGGCCAATACCCCCAGGCGTTTTTTTTTTTTCATTTTTTTTGATACATGCCTTTAAAAAATTTTCATGAGGGTTTTTGGGGCATTTTTTGACAAAAAACGGATTTTTGGATCCTGAGCCCTGGTATTACTACCATTGATATGAAATTCGGTATAGGGGTGCCCTGAACATGTGTCTACAGAATAGCAGTCACATATTTGGCATACATCACTTCCAAATGACTCATTTGGGGGTCTTTAATATGGCTATTTTCAGCCAAAAAAGGGCTAAAAATGCTATACCCGTTCCACGTTCGATCTAAAGAATGACCCGTTCCATCTGCTGTTGGCCATCGAACAAGTGCTCCATTGCAGGTTACATGGGGTCATGTTGTACGTAAGTCGTGCGCAATGACCCACACATTCAATAAGATCATTACGTCATCTACAATCACGATGATGAAATCTGCTGACCATCCTAATCCTGGGTACCGCAAAGTGTCTCGGAAGGTATGGAATAAAAGGACTAGAAGAGTAGGGGTGTCGCACGGTCGAAAATTTTTCCCGGAAACGCTCCGGACCGCTAAAAACCGAAAAATTCCCCAGATTTGAGGCTCTCAGTTGGCCACTCAACAGACAAAAACTGCTGGGATGGAGATGGACTGAAATATACTGTATTTGCTCCCAAACAAATGTCGGCCTTTCTAGTTATGATTAATTTCCCATGACAGAGAAAAAAAACACACTTTACAACAACAGAAAATCTATCTTTATTAAGTTAGGGACTAGGCTGACATGAAGAAAGATCTTGTATACACAAGTAATGGAATCTGTTTTCCAGAAAGCAATTTCCACAATTGGATTCACGGCCCAGGTTTGATCTTGTTATGATTTTATAAAAGCCTGGGGTCATTTTGTTGTGAGTGTGGAAATTATGAAAATCTAATCAACTTTAAGTCTTACATGTTAACTTGTTGTTGAATATACTACATAACAGTTGAGCTTTATGTTATTAAATGTACCAGACTGAGTGTTTTAGCTAGCTTTAGTCTTGTCATTTAATGGGATTTTGCACTCATAACAGACAATTTTGCTTATTTCTAATTGGCAATCTTTGATAGACAAAAATTAGCATGAAAAGATATTGAAATCAAAAGCATAGTTATTTATAGGCATGTAACATGTTACCGAGTGCAATACATAATGGAAAGAGGTGTCATTTGTCTACCAGCAGAATTTTTACAAAAAATTGCAGGATATCCCATTTGACATGAGCTCAACAAAATTGAGACGGTAAAAAAATTTGCTGGCTGGCTAGAATACTGGTTATTATCTGTTGCGCTATAAAGTTCTTCTTCTTCTACATTATTTCAACGGGCAACAAAATCATGACAAAAAGGTCAATGAAGTTTTGATTTCTGTCTATTAAAGGCATCCAGTGCAGTTTTTAGGGCTTGGAAACCAGGTTTTTAAAGTCAATATTCTAGTAGTCATTTATTTACAATGCAGTACATAATACTAGCTGAAACAACACTGTCCCAATGTATATCGACATTCATGGATCAAAAATGCCCCAAATTCTGACCAAAACGGTTTACTTACTGTAAGGGCCCTGGATTGATTTTTAGGGTACCACCCAGAAAATAAAGGACTGATCTTGGGGCTTGTTTCTGCAGTTTTAAATACCTAATAAAGTACAAAATACTGATCCAAATGTGCTAATGTGGGACAGTATGTGTCAATATCATACAGATTGCCTTATTTAGAATATTTCCAGTTTTGCCGCCCTAAAATTGCATTGGATTTAAGGGATGTATAATATTATATTTAAGTTGTTTTGAAATTTCTGAGGTATAGAATTTCATTCAGGGATGGAAAGATGATGAAGATTAAAAGAGGTTACAAGAGAACACTATGCATTGTTTCAACACAATTTAGTCTAATTATTTATATTTGAAATATGCTTAACCTTCTATATTGATTGCCTATATATATATGCTGTGTATTTTTATATTTATTGTCATTGACTAATAATAGTATGTAACTTTTGATGTTGTACAATCATGTGTTTTTTGTATGGGGGAGGGCAACTTGTAAAGGTGCAGATGTACCTGTTTTGCCCTCCCTTTCACTTTGTGAAAAATCCAAATAAACAAACACATGTATAAACAAATACCTCTTCCTTTTCCTGTTTGACCTTCCCTTCTTCCTTCTTGACTTCTCTTCTACCGTCATCGTCTCGGGAGGGAGGGAGTATGGGGAGGGTGTCCGGTAACTGGAAGAACAGCATCTCACCGTCGTTCCCAGCCTTACTACAGAACAACTCTGCACACGACACCTGCACGGGGAGGGGACAGGTTTGTTAGTTCATTCCTAGAAGGAAAACATAATTTTAATTCCTTGGGTGGCGTAGTGGTAGATCATTCGACTGTGAACCAGGAGACCCGGGTTCAAACCTGAGTCGCACCCGGGACATGTCTGGACATGCGCCCGACGTTGTGCCCTTGGGAAAGGCACTTTACACGACTTTCCTCACTCCACCTAGGTGTGAATGGGTACCTAACTTCGGTTGGGGAAAGACGTATTGAGGTCACCTTGTGGCGCCGAATGGCAGCCGCACAAACCCTTGCGACAAATATATGTGTTATCATGTGTATTACTTGTTTGTTGTGATTTGTATTGATTATTATGTGATACCCTGCATCAATTCAGCCGTTAAAGGCTGCGACTGCAGGGGTACTGTTTGGACAATAAAAACCATTATTGTATAATAATTATTGCTCTGTTTCTTCTTCTTCTCCAAACACATGTACATAAGGTCCATGATGTAACATTACATGTGTAAGGAAAAATTCATTAAGTAGGCCAGTATCCAGTATTAGTAATTAACTGTATCAGTAGTACATCATACCAGTACACAACTCTCTTGACCTGGCTTCAGCTCTACATTTGTTTGTTTGTTTTGTTTGTTTATTTATTCGCATATAATCAGAGAGAAGAACAATAAAATGAATATATTACAGTAAAATAGGATATGCAGGGGAAAGATAAGAAGCCATAATGGCTTGTCTGTGATCTTCCCCAGACTAAATTAATTGACAACTGTAATAATGGTGACAAATCAAATGGTAATAATAAATAACAATAAGTAATTGAAAAATTTGATCAATATGATAACGGTAACAAATCAAATTATAGTAACAATAACAAAAGTAATTGGTAAATAACATTAGAAATGGAATGTTAAAAAATAAGTTAACAGAGGTTTAACTGAAGTACAAACATAAGCAAAAAAAATTGAAGTAATAACTCCAGAATATATAAATGAATTTTGAATCTAAATCTTATATAACATCTAACGGAAAATTCAAACTTTAACTTTAAGTTTAAGGGAAAGAAAAGTCTACTAGGTAAGTTTTAAGATTGCATTTAAAGCTAATTATTAATGTTAAACATTTTAGGTGGAGGGGAGATTATTCCAATTAATTACCTTCGCCAAGAAGGTTATGTTTTCAGGGGCGTTCGTGTATGTGTGTGTGTGTGTGTGTGTGTGTGTGTGTGTGTGTGTGTGTGTCTGTAAACACGATAACTTGAGAAGGCCTTGATGGATTGTCTTGATACTTGGTAGGTGGGTAGGTCTTGATGAGACCTCAAAATGATTAGATTTTGGACCCCCTAGCAGCTTGTTATGGTACTGCAGCTGAACTTCCGGTTTTGATATCTCATGATCTAGACATGCTATGGTGATGAAATTTAGATGGTAGGTAGCTCTTGTGCTGGGAAAGAAGTGACGTGAGTTTAGGCCCCCTAGCGGCTTGCTCTGGAACTGCAGGGATAAATTCTTGAAAATATTCAAAAGGGGATAACTCAATAACCGGTTGACGGATCGTCATGATTTTTGGTATGTAGGTAGCTTACCTGATGCTTAATATAATCATGTGACAATTATGCAAATATGGATGTAATTTGCATAATTTATGGGGAAATTCTATAAATCAACTGCATTCCATGATAGGACAATTGAAGCTTGTGACATTGGTAATTGACATCGAGAGAAACACAGGAAGATGTTGATTATGTTAATAATGACTTAATTTGCATAATTAATGAGAAAATTTTATAATTATGTAATGATAACTGCCTGGAATTTCATACTTGTGGTATTTGAAAGTTAAATTGAGGTGAACATCATTAAATATAATTTATTCAAATCAGGACCTCATTTGCATAATTTATTAGGAAATGCTAGAATGCATTCTTTGTTAATATAAGACTGTCTTTTGGTTGAGATTATGATAAAATGATATATTCATGAAAATTAGGTTTCTATTTCTTAAATCAGGGGGGAATAATCTAATCTAAACTTTGTCAGTCATAAAGATTAACATCATTTGGCGAAGGTATGAGATCGGGGAACTCTAGTTATACATTAAATTGTATTTTACACTCATTTGGGCTACGGACGTTCTTACAAGGGGAATATGGAAATGAGCACTTTGTCGAGTTTGGTAAGTATGAAAATGGGAATTAAGATTTAAAAGACCATTAAATGTGTCTGGAAGAGAACAGTTAAGGAATTTAAATGTAAATAGCATTCAGATGAAGTCTGCTTATATAAAAAATATTAAAAATCTTAAGTTTTGTAAACAAAGGTGCAGAATGTGCGTGGAAACTGTACAATATACATCAAACACTTGTCAATGGCATGATGTTTTGCTTGACTGTGAAGCTATCAGAAACATAGTGTATGATAAAAAAAACATAAACAGGTGTCTCACCCTTTTGCCCCGCCCCACTTCAGGCTTCACCTGAGCAGGCTCCGCCTTCACAGGTGCAGTTGAGACACCTGGTTCAGTCAAATCCTCCATCTCAACATCTTCTACAGGCTCAGACTTTACTACTCATGGTGGAAAAGTGAAACGAATGTCAAAAGTGGGTAAAGAAGTTGGTTCTCAGTCAAAGTATCACCACTAGCAGTACTTGTATATGTAGATTAGGCCACACCATCTTAATTTTATGGATGACATCAGCGCGCACATTAATTTTCGCCTGTTCTCGAAAAAAAAAAAAAAGATCATAATGTCATCCTCCGAGGCTCTGGCCTGGGTAGTCCATGGTAGTTAGCGGCAATACATGAAGGGAGCCGGTGGTAACTCTGGAGGATGGCACATAGGCTATGGAAGCTCCATGCACCACTCAAGAACTCAGTACATACCAAAAGTGCCCATTCATAAATTCCGCAAAAGGCCAGCATGTGCTGGCTTGGTATATACCTTGCTATGTACTGTCGCTAATTTGCAATACCAGCTTTGTACTCCTGTGATTTAGTAGCATTTTTATTTTTGGACGGAATTTTTTATTTGCCCACGCGCACTAGTTTGGGGGTCTTCAGAGGATGTCATCCAAAAAATTAAGTCGGTGTGGCCTTACAGATACAAAACTATATTGATACCATTAAGACAAGACTTGTAGATACACTGTACATAATTGTGATTGTATAATAGCTTACAAATTTATAAATATGATCAAAATGTCTTTCAAGAAATTTGCAATTGATTGCAACCAAAAAAAATACACTGAAACACCAGTATTTCTTTAGAAATAGTGAAATTTTGCTGTTCAAATGTCTGTGTCTTAAATATTTACAATGATACGATATGAATTACGCCAAAAAGCAGTTACTCAAGCAACTGGATATGATTTTGGAAACGGTCAGGTTTCAGGTAGTATCCACTAGCTTTCGTCAGTCACTGACGAAAGCTTTCTTGTTCATGTTCCCACCATCGATACATGCCCGTAGCCAAGGGGGATTTGGAAGAACCCCCCCACAAGGCTCAAAGGTCCACTTTTTGGTCCACTTTTTATGTAAAGGTCCACTTTTTGGTCCACATTTTATGTAAAGGTCCACTTTTTGGTCCACATTTTATGTAAAGGTCCAAAATTTTTCTTGAAAAGATGGACTGGAATCATAGAAAAACTGCTCCCTTTGTCATTGAATAAAAATTTATCTCTGATTTTTTCTTGGAAATCCTTTTAAAAAATGCACAAAATGCCATTTTAGAAGGTTCATTTTTCAAAATTTAGAAACCCTAGAAACCTCACGCCTATGGTGCTCAAGGTCCCCTCAAGCAGTGGGAAGAACCCCCCATTCAAAATCCTGGCTACAGGCATGCAATCTAAAGTACACTGTACAGAATCTGATATATATTATAAGGTGTAATGACAAACCTTTGACCTCAGGTTTGGTGTCTGTGTCCATCTCTTCCTCTTCCCTGTGTTTTACAAGTGACCCTGTGGATACTAGAGGCACCTGGACGGGCAGTAGACTTTTCTCTGTCTCCTTATAGCCAAGGTCACTCACAAACTGAGACAGGAAGAAGGTAAAACACAAGTATTTTTCATACAGTAGAATGAGTTAAATTTTCTATCATTGGATACTACATTGTACATACTAACTATGATTTGCCAAAATCAGTCGAGTGAGAGAATACGAAAATTGTTTTTACTCACTAGTGATTCATTGTAATATTCAGTAAACGAAATTTTGCTGCTCATCATGACAGGCAAAGAGTTTGCCCAATCTGCCATCCTTCACTGACAAAAGTGGTGTAATTGTGGTGTAAAGATGTAAAAAGTGCTGTCATTTAAGTGAAACTAAGCTAAATTTGCTCATCAGAATGAAGTAAATAGCAGTTCAGAGGTTCAAGATTTTAAAATTTTCTGTGAGATTCTTTTTTGTTAGATTTTTGTGTTTCATGAAAAAATGTTAGATTTTTTTGATTGAAAAATTTCAAGATGAGTTTCATGAAAAACACTGCTATCTGCCATTTTCAATTATACATTTCATAATGGTTCAAGTAGTAGACATGAAATACCACATCATATATTATTATTGTACTAGTAATATGCTTAAGGATCAAGTACTAGTAACAGTCTGTCTCCTTACATCATCTCTCTGCAAAGCCTTGAGGATTTTCTTGGTGTCTTCCTTGTTTTCTGGGATGTCTGTTCTGGTCCCAGCCTTGTAAACAGGTGCAGGCATATCAGAGGGACCATAGGACCCACCACCTCCACCTCCACCTCCTCCTACAAACAACACATGTTAAATCATTGATTAAACAAGTAAAATCTGAGATTTTATACCTCCAGGCTTTTTATTGTATATTTTTATATGTTGTTTACAACAACAATTGTTGCGCGCCGCAGGACTAGGCTTTTAAACAAAGAATTTATTGAGACCGGACACCCCTCACACCCCTCTTCAACGGGGTCAACGCCAAAGGTCAACGGTCGCGACCACTTTCACGCTCAAAGGGGTGTTCTGGGGCCACCAAAAGGCACAATTTTTACGCCCGAAAACACATACAATAAAAACAAAAGAACGTGCATTATCTGCAGCCCAATAGCAAAACATATTCCGAGTCTCAAAAGAATCCGTCCACCCAAACGCGAGAAACAGCTGAGAACATGAAAATCTAAATCTCTCACAAAACCCTTCCGCGGAAGGATGTCTCCTCCCCCGGAGGTAACAATAAACTCAGGATCACTACTTAATAACTCCATCCACTGTATTCTGTAGCCCAGTGTAGAAGTTAAAACAATCTTTGACTACGTGTTTAGAGTTAAAACTTTTGGTCCAACACAAATAAGTTCTCTCATCTAGAGCTTTCAACCAGTCACTCTGGTCTTCCTCAGTAGACTGACCCAGTGAAGCTTGTCACGTGACGTCACACTTCAAAGAAGACACGTGACAAGCTTCACTGGGTCAGTCTACTGAGGAAGACTATAATTATAGTGACTCTAGGTGAGAGAACTTTTTTGTGTTGGATCAAAAGTTTTAACTCTAAACATGTAACTACCAACACACTGATGTACTTTCATGATAACCTTTGACTACGACAAGTCTTTCTTCATACAAACAATAGTCTACTGTAATATAGTAATGTTATAACTTATAGACATAAAATTATCAACCCTGACTTATGTTATGCATACATGCTAACATGGACCATTTATTGTTAAACTGAAAACTGTTTGAACCATAGTATTGGAGGTTGTGATGACTGGTCTTCATACTGATAGAGGATCCTCAGCTCCTATTGGACGGATTCTCATAGTAAGGAAAAACACTGAGCTCCTATTGGTTAATTCTGAGAATGATGGCCAGAAGCTCTCAGCAAGGAGAACCAATCAACAACAAGAGATTGTGTAACACTACCTATATGTACATGTACAGGGCTCAAAATACTGGGTGCATACTGTTATCATTATGTACCTTAGTGCAGGTAAAATTGGAGCTATGCAGGTATTTCTGATGTCTACCTGCACCTAACCTGCACTGGTCCATGTACTGGGTATTATTATATTAGTGCAGGTAAAATTGGAGCTGTGCGGGTATTTCTGATGTCTTCCTGCACCTAACCTGCACTGGTCCATGTACTGGGTATATGCAGATTAGTGCAGGTAAAATTGGAGCTGTGCGGGTATTTCTGATGTCTACCTGTACCTAACCTGCACTGGTCCATGTACTGGGTATATGCAGGTTAGTGCAGGTAAAATTGGAGCTGTGCAGGTATTTCTGATGCCTACCTGCACCTAACCTGCACAGGTCCATGTATATGCAGGTTAGTACAGGTAAAATTGGTGCTGTGCAGGTATTTCTGATGTCTACCTGCACCTAACCTGCACTGGTCCATGTACTGGGTATATATATGCAGGTTAGTGCAGGTAAAATTGGAGCTGTGCAGGTATTTCTAATGTCTACCTGCACCTAACCTGCACTGGTCCATGTACTGGGTATATGCAGATTAGTGCAGGTCCAACACAACAAATTGGACTCAGTTGTGAGACCTAGCTCGACTACTTCGGAGGTCTCACTACATAGACACATAGAATTGCCTGGACAATCAGTCTTACTGGACAAAGTAAGAATCTTGGACTCAGAACCGGATTTCTTTACACGAGGGATTAAAGAGGCCATCTACACCCCTCAACAGAGACGGGGGGCGCCACAGACTTTCTGCAACCTATGATCCACTGCTCACGGAGTCACGTGTGTTATCTGCGTGACGTCACGGAAGCGGTGGATTGCTCATTCCTTGGCAAAGACTGGAGTTGTACAGTCAAAAATTTGAGTGAGTCCAAGTTTGTTGTGTTGGAAATTACAGTTTAAACTTGCTTCATAATGATTTCTAACTTTCAAAGATATTTTGAGCCCTGTTGTACAGGACACTGACCTCTCCTGATCTGTCTGCCAGCTGGACCCTCCTCAAAGATGGAGTGTGTTCTGATGACATCCCCCCTCCCCCCTTGCCCCTCCCCCTCCCCCCGCGGACTCTCCCCCTCTCCTCTCCTCTTTTCGCTGACTTGCCCCTCTGTTCACTGGGTTTGCTTGTAGATGATTCCCTAGAAAAAGATGTGTGTTAGACTAATCATGTGTTTGACATCAGAACGTAGAAAAAGACTGTACCAAAAACGCAAAACTTAAAGGTTTAAAAAGTGGATTTCTTCTGTTCTGTACAGAACACATGTACTAGTACTACTGTATGATGTAAAGTTATGCAGAATAGTAATATACTATAAGAATTGTAACCCTTGAAAGATTGTAAAACCATTAATTTAATAAAACACAAATTTGACAAAATAAAGATTACATCAAAAATCAGTTACTCAAGCAACTGGATATGATTTTGGAAATGGTCAGACGTTTCAACTTTTAAGTATCCACTAGCTTTCATCAGTGACTGCTAGCTGAAACATCTTACCGTTTCCAAAATCATATCCAGTTGCTTGAGTAACTGATTTTGGCATATCGTATTACTTGGATGTCTAACCTTCATCGACGTAAAATAAAGATTATACATGTGTCAGATTGAATAACAGCACTACCTTTTTCGTAAAGCATTAATATTGAAACTGCTGTAAATACATGTACAATGTACTAGTTAGTCCAGCTATATTTTATCTACAAGTACAAATGTCATGGACTCACCCATTTTTGTTTCTTTCCTTTCGAACTGGAATGTTGGGGGTAAAGGTTTTCTGGAAACAGAGGTAAAATCTTATTTAATGCAGATTACCTTTATTACATGCGGAATACATTGTGTTGTATTTTATTTACGTCATGATACACACCCTTTCAATGTAAAATGAGCCAAAATTTGTTGTCCCTAAACCAAAAAATGCAACATCAATTCCAACGTTCGAATCCTGTATTCAAATTTTTTAAAGCTTCACACATGGTAAGGCTGAGGCGCAAATTCCAACTGTTTTATGGAAGTCATGAAAGTACTAGTATGGCCCGGTCCGGAACACTGTTATTGAAGGTTACTAGTATCACAACCTTGGTATGATATAAATATAAAATTCAACAGGGGGTATTCCGTATGGCCCAATGTCTCGGCCCGACCGCGATCCTACTAGCAGGAGGGCCGGGACCGAGGGCAATGCAGAATACACCGTGTACAGTATCTTTTAAAATGTCATACCCACCCGAGAAAATGCACCTTTCAATGCAAAATGAGCCAACATTTGGTGTCCCTAAAGCCTAAAATGCAACAACACTAGACTAAGTTCCAACGTTCGAATTCTCTTTGCATATGTTTGAAAGTGGTGCACGCGGTTAGGGCGAAACATGTTCGAATCATTCTATGGGAGCCATGGACGCCCGGGCCATACCGTAAAGAAGTCCGGGCTGTACCATAAGGAAGCCCTAACTGCGTGCTCCGCTTTTGAAAATTCGAATACAAAATTCGGACGTTGGAATTGATGTTGTTGCATTTTCTGGGTTTAGAGACACCAAATTTTCGCTCAAATCTTGCATTGAAAGGCGCAGAACACCTATATCGAATGTTATCGCGGCCCAGGCATGACTTTTATATAATGAATGAGTCTACAGCCTACCTTTGGCACGCCGCCTAGCGTGAGATCACGGGGACTGCGAATAGACGGTAACCTGCGGGGGGTGCCCCGCCCTCGTCTGGACACCAGGGGGGAGGGGGGCCCGGCGGTACCTGACGTCCCGCTGCCTCCAGGGGGGGTCCGTCCTGGGGGGTTGGAGGCCATAACTTCTCCACTTCTGTAAGAGGATTACAACACTTACTCTCATCTCTCAAATAAACGTACAGGTACGTTTTTTTTTTATATCCCTAAACAAAAAAAATGCAACAACATCAAATCCGGTATTTGAATTTTCGGAACTGGTGCACATGGCTCAGGAAAAACATGTTCAAATTATTCCACGGAACATTTTTCAAAGCTCATAACCAAAAACATGTAGAACCACGGGCTGTATTGCTTCGAGTTATCACACCAGCCAGAACACCCGTATCAAACATTATTGCGGAGGTATAACAGTTGCATGTAACGTTAGCAATAACATACAAATACAGAAGCTGGTACATGTATGTTATGCAGAAGGGCAATTATATAAAGACGCTGGTGTGTCATGCTAACGGAAATCTATACCGGCTACGCCAATACAAATCCAGAAGCAGGTGTGTTAAAAAAAAAAGGTTTTAGTTATACCAGCTATACAGATACTAGTACAGGGTTTATCAGATATATGCAACACATGGCATAGTCCATGTACGTACATGTACGTACCTGTATTTTTGTCGTATTTGTTTCCATTCTGATGGATTTCAAAGGTTTTAAATTAGCCTTGTACTCAAATTATCATACTGATACTCAAAGTTAAACAAGTCTAGATCCTCAGATTATTTGGACCAAGAAGGTCCTAGCTTGGACCCTGGAGCTATACTATATACTATAACTTCATCCTTGGACACAAATTATAGTATAGCTATGCTATAATAATAATCTAAGAATATCAAAGATAGTCATTTTTATTAGATAGTATCTAATAGATTATGTAAGTTATGTAACGTTATGTTTTCTGAAAACAAACCAAAAGACTAAAAGCTTTCAGCAGCCTTTTCATGACCTAAAGGAGACACGTTTCTAGTAGATAAGTTAGAAGCTATTCCCAACATGCAAAACGATGTAAGAAAGAAACCTTCAGCCCCCCTCCCCAATCCGATGAATCTAAAAAACACCCTTGTAAGGATAACCTTATAAGGACTAAAATTTTACCTACGTAGTCTTGTAATCATTAAGCACATTGTTAGCATGAAATATAAACTGTCATAATTTTCTAACCTTATCTAGCAGGTAAAATATTAGAAGATCGTGAGCTCCGTGTAACTTCGGCTAAAACCAAGTATATTCTGACCTTTGACACCGGAAGTAGAATCGAATAACCTGGTTACCCACATAATAAAGCAGAACACAGTTTTCGCCCTATGGGGATTTCTATAGTTAAGGAGCCCAAGGTGATCATGAGAGGGTACGACGCTGTAAAATTTATAGTACGGTACAAAAGCAAGTTACAACAAATCTTTGAGTACAGGATACTACCTACTCTCCAAGCAGAGGTTGATGGTGGAAGATCGTTTGCTTTTTATATATGGCCCTTTCTGTCGCTACCACCACCATGGTTGGGGAAATGGTTACAGACTGGCCAATTTGATACTGTCTTACACCCACCAAAAGATCTGCTTGCAATTGGAGAAGTTAGATACTGCCTACAAAATAGGTGAAAATCAGCTCAAGTTTGTTGGCTCGTTTTTAAACAAAAAAAGAAAAAAACAAAAAGAAAAAAACAAAACCAAAAAAA